CCAGCCACCTGGCAGCCAAAACAGCATTCAAAAATGAGTCAGCAGCTGCTCCCAGTGTGCGAGTATTTTTGTTTCCAGTAAATAAGTAAGATCCCAACAACTTATTGCTACTGCTTATATTAGTCATTAAAGGAAGAATGGTGTTTTATGTGCACATATGCCAGTATTCTTCTTTTGCTATAATATTACCATTTACAGCCATATTTTAATCCTTCAGGATATGATATGATCCGGACCCTTAACTGTCTGGAAACCATGAAGCAAAGTCAAAAGCTGCCCATGAAATAAAGAGGGTTCACAAGTGCATGTTTCTGTATTCTGTGGGAGTGTACCACACCCACATACAGTATGTCTACATGATGAGCATGCTCTTTAAGGTGGGATATTCATGGTGCCTCTGTATCGGACACAGGAGTGAGTTCTGTTCATCTACTAATCATTGTCGCCTAAGGATTCAAGGAGCTGTGTCAAAGGGACAAACATTTTCATTAAGTGTGTATTGCCTGCATTAACATTTCCTTGAAAATACCACATTCAAGAGCTTGGTAGGAGTAAAAATGCTTTTGACTTTTGGAGTGCTTTTTAATGTGTGACAGATAGGCATCTATATACTTACAGTGTGAAATGTTTATTGGGAATATTAATTGCTGAGAGGGAATAAACTTCACGTCAGCTTTGTCCTTCCTCCATTTACTTCCAGCGGGGTTCTTCCTGTTTCTTTATGCATTCGTTTACCGATATTCTGGCTTTCATCGGTACAGTCCGTGGAATAGACTTTGTTAATGTACCGTTGTTGCATAGGATGCTTTTCCTGTAAAATGGCCTTTCTTGTGACTCACTGAAGCATTCGTCCTAACATCTTAGACAGACAATCTCTTAAGGATATCCCCTTTGAAAAGCAGCAGCTGCAATAGGAAATGGTTTTGTATGTTTCCAGCTTTGTGTTGACTTACTGTATTCACGACTCCAGTCTGCTTTAGTCACAGTTAGGGTAGAGGGCCAAAAAGGCTTCTTTCCTTCTTGGAAAAGGAGGTTCAAAATGTTTACTGTGCCGCTGTCTCAGGGAGGTAGCAAAATGTTCATCAGTGATACTTTTCTGCAACAGTGAGTCTGAGAATTGAATTGTTTTGGTGAGGGATAAGTCAACATAGTGAAACTTAGGAAAAATATAAACCTGTGCCACAATAGTCATGCTAGTTCAGTCATTGAACATTGTAAGAATTGACTTGGAACTCATCATATCTGAAAAATCAGATGCAGAATTCATGAAGTCATTCTCCTGGGTTTTCCATACTTCCTGACATCTGAATTATACCATACTAAAAAAAAAAAAAATAAAAAGTTATTTGAGTATTTTGGTCTTAGTAGAGGCATATCTAGGGAAAATCTACAGAAACTTGCAAAAAAAAAGGACTGTTTCAGGCTTGGACAGTTCTTTTCGTAAATTGTTTCCTCTGTCTCTATTGCAAAGAATATCTGCCATTTCCATTCGGTGGCTCTTGTCCCACACTGAATTAGTGCCACAGAAAGCAAATCAGCCCAGAAGTGAAGCCATAATTCTGTAAACCCTGCTAGCTAGGCTTCCCACTGAAGGAAGCAGTCCCCGCTTGCCCTTGTTTGCAGATTGCCTTTTTGTTGTGCTGGCGCAAGCATCAGTTTGACTAGAGGGTGACGTGAATCAGATGGATCAGGATGACCTGATCAGTAGTAAAGATAACGTTTTTGCCATATTATTTCTGGCTTGGACCATTTTCTTGCTCTCCTTCACTTTCCAACACTAGGATAAGGAGAAGACCGTGAGAACACTCTCTTTAGTAGGCAAGCCAGCGAGTGTTTGTGAAGCTACAGCCTGAAGAAGTAAATGCTGACTGAGTATGGACCCAGGAAAATAGAAGCCCTATGGTCTAGGAAAAAACCTGAAAATCTGCCTTGGGCCTGCTAGGTAGCTGTAGGCTACCGTTAATCTGCCTTGTGCTGCCATTTTTTCGCTTGAAAGCAAAATTAATGGTATCCATGTCCTTCATGATGTGATTTGAGATCCTCCTCATGCTTGTTACAAGCAAGGGGAAACTAGGATAAAATAATTCCTATTCTGTTTTTCCTTGCACGGAAATCTCACTGACTGTCCCAGGTAAATAGTGGGAAACATTTTTAACTGGAGAAGCAAAAGAATGCTGTGCCAAAAAAGTGGCTTAAAAAGGTGGCAAAATAAACACAATGGAGTTTGAACTAAAAAAAAATATCTTTAGAGTTTGTTTTCACAGTACTTGTGATACTGCATCCCACTGGTTCTCTTGCAGGTCTGTGACTCTTCCAAAAGAAGATATCTAAATCTCTTTAAGAAAACCAAAAACCTCCTCTCTCCCCAAAAACAGGAGGAGGAGGAGCTCTATCCTTCAGCCCTTTTCTCTCAACATGCCTTTCTTTACCTATCACAGCAAAGCATATGTAATCCTTTTCTTCTAAGTTGACTTTGAAAACTTGAGGAGAGGGAAGGACAGAGATGAACATTTAGAAATCTGTTGTAGTATGTGAGAAACTCAAAGCAGCCTCCTATATGAAGTGGACCATTAATGCAGGCATTCTTTTTGATATACATATGTGTCCTCTTGTCACAAGTCAGGTTAGCACATCCCCTTTTGTCTACCCCTAAATGAATGCTTTTTATAAAATTCCATGAGAACTTCTGTTGAAGAGGGGCCACCAGCTAAGTTGCAATATATTTCAATTTTACCTTTTAGATAAAAGTTTTGAAGCACCCTTTTACGTTTCCTTCTATATTTACATACTAACTCCCTTTAAGACACTTAGTTGCCATTTTGATTGTCAACGGAAGGATATAATCTGCAAAAGCAATGTCTGCTGTGTGCATGTCCACTGCGCTCTCCTACCATAGTTTACGATTTCTGGAAACTGCCTAGAAGAAGGTATTGTGCTCCCATGCTACCCTGAAGGTCTCTATTGAAAGAGCGTTCGGCTTGAGCTGTAATAGCTTGATAAAAACATGGTATCTAGATGTCATTGGGCCGTTGCGGTTGCACATGCATGTTCAAGCAGGTTTGGAAATGTGGCCCTGAGGAGGAGGGTAAGAAAAATCTCTGGAGTTTGACAAAGAAGGACAAGTCTGGTTAAGTTAAGAGGCGAAGAGCAAAACAAAAAACATCTTGCTTCTTGAGACCAATTTAAGTTTTCGTAACCCAGCCCTAGAGGATAGTTATAGAAGATTGCTTTCACGTATAAACCTAGCAATGCTCCGTGTGTGTTTGCGTGTGTGTATATTTGTATGTATATATATGTCCGTATTTGTATGCATATATGTGTGTGTGTGTATGTATATATAAACCTAGCAATGTATAGACAATCTGTGCAGACTGAACCCAGGGACTGACTACTCTGAAATAAAAGGTACCAGGCTCTAGAGTTCCTGTCTGTGGGTTATGGTCAGTGATGTTGAGATGAGTGGTTAGATCCATATGAACTATTCTAAATCCAGAAGACAACTTTTAAGTCTTGAGAGTAAGAAGAATAAGCCATTACTAAGATGCAAGTTAACACAGGCTTTCTGAACCTTGTGTTGTGTGTACTTTTGATTCAAATGCACAGATCTACTTACGCTGAAATGTGAACATCATTTCATGAATATTTGGGAAAGCTTTGGAGAGCTGTCCATTGACATAGCTCCAATATACTGACTACAGTTGCAGCTCTCATTTGTGATTACGTAAAGAGTGCCTTGCAATCATACGGTTCTGCCCTGTTGGGCTAATCGAAGTTGAAGAATCTTGTTCATATAATGTGCTTCAGTGCTCTGTTACGAACTCCTGTGTGCCGAGGCAAAGTTGTTGGAAGCCGGTCTTCTGTTTCCTTGTCTGCTGGGATTTGGGGGGTGAGGAGGGGGGAGGAGGGAGGAATTGGGATTGTTTTGTTTTGTTTTTCAGAAATGGTCAGTCCTGCTTAGTAAATATGGAATTCTGGATGAGAAAACAAAGACTGGCTTCTAATTGAGGGTTGGTTATTGAGATGAAATAGTATCCCAGCCGGGGCAGGGTAAAGAGAAACCCACCTGTTTGTATGAGATGCCATTAAAGAGCGAGAAGGTGGGAGGATAATAGGAGCCACTTTTACAGAGGTGATTACATATAACAAAAGGAGGAACAGTGTCCTTGCCCAAAGGCTGCATTATATAGGCTGGTGTCCCCCTGAAACTCAACTCCCGTGTTTCTTCCTTGACAATGGGACCTGAAATAACCTCTTGGTTTTGGTTTTTTGTGTGTTTTCAAGTATGTTCTTGCTTAAGGTTTAATTGGCTCCAGTCAGTAGGAAAGGGCTCCAAGGCTGATTATTTATGGCTTACTGTCAAAAGTGGCTATAAAAAGGGCAGTATTATCTTGGAGATGCTGGGAAGGAAAATGTGGTGGGGGGAGGGCGGGGGAGTGTGTGTGTGCACGAATGTGTTTTCTTGTACTAGATGAAATCAGACTTTTGCTGTCTCAGCAGTGTGGTTTAAATTGAAGATTAACCCTTTGACCTTCACGGTGTCAAATCACTTACAGATGGATCACCAGTTATATTTCTTTTTCTTTTTTTTTTCTTTTTTTACTTTTGGGGTGAAGGGGGGCTTTTTTTTTTTAAAAAAAAAAAAAAAGGTTGTTTGTTCATGCAGCTGGGGCTTTTGAAAGGCTCAGAAGCCAATCTGATTAAAAACAGCACTTGGCTAAACTCTGCAAAATCCTACAAGCAAAAAAAAAAGTTTAATCCTCTTGTGCACAATGCATAAAGGGTCTGCTCTTTTCTTTTTGTAATGTTAGAGCTACAATTATTTCTGGAGAACTTATCATTTCCCTCTCTCCCCTCATCCCTCTCTGCACCCCCTTGTTATGCTGATGGGATTAAAGTGTCTGCTCTTGAAAAGTGTAACTGAGTTGTTTTTGGAAAAGAGAAGTGGTATGTTGCAATTTTAGAAATATAAATAACTTTGTTTCAACTGTTCTCCTCTACAGCATCAGCAGAACAGAAATCAAGTGTGGTGGCAGCTTTTTCTCTTTCTACACAACTTGGCCTTAAATGTGGAGGCGAACAGGAACCACACTGGGCAGAGGTGAGCTTCGCCCACCTGTTTCAGGCCACATCCAGTCTGCAGGGAGCACTGAACAAACACTGGTTCGGGGGAGAGACATGCACACCGCCGGCCGGATGTGAGGACTCTGTGAAATTCTTATACTCGCCTTCAAGTTTGGGTTTTTTATGGACTCTTCTTTGCTGCTTGCTGCCTCATGAGGCAGGGAGCTCTTGTCCAACACTGTCGAAGGAAGTTAGAATGTGGGTGTGTTTGGTAACGCTTGCTGCTGGTTCCCCGTGCTGGTAACTTCTGTGCAAGAGAGGCAGGTATTAGACTAACAGCTTCTTCTACTGTTTGTTAGTCAATAATAGAATGCAGGAGTTTGTAATTTTGGCTGCTAGTTAAAAAGGATGTCTGTGATTGATGACTCTAAACGTACTTTGGGTATCTTCCAGAGTAGAGATGCTTGATTCCTCCATGAAGAAAGTTTTTTTTAGCAACAATAACATTCAAGTGTCTTATATCCAGCGGGTTACTTGTTTTCTGCATGGGTTACTGCTTTTTTTTCTTGGATCTTTTGTGAGAGAAAATCACAAAGAAATTTGATCTCTTAAATCTTTCCACTAAGCACCAGTTGCAGATCCCTCACATGAGGTTGTTCTTTCTCATTGCCCCAAACAGACAAAACTGTTTCTATAAGAACGTTCTTCAAAAACCCTGCTTGGAGTTACTGGTGGCTATTCAGTGTCTGCAATTGTTTGCTTCCAGTTCAGTGACTGCTGTGCCTCTAAGCCAGCAGGGAGCTGAAAACCATGGAATAAGACCATCGTTCTCCTACTATGCTAATGTATATGTTTTTATTAGTTTTATGATGGGTATTTGTTTTATTTTTCGTTTCTATTACTATAATGTGGTTGGTCAGGAAGGCTTAGGTCCCAGGCATCTGATAATTTGCTTCAGGATTTGACAGAGAAATTAATTATCAACCAGTCTGATGTGCACACTGTACCAGCAGTCCGTCTGTTACTATACTAAGTAACATTTGGAGACTAGCATATATTGACTAGCAGCAGTAATATTACTTCAAGGGAGATCTTCTAAGAGTTCCTGGTTTTTATCTGCTCAGAAGTTTGTCTGTATGACTGACGCTATTAGACCAGCACAGGGGAATTACCTACCAAATGAAGTACTTCTGTGTGGCCTTAAATATTGTTAATTGACCAACCCAGTGACAACTTGGATAAAATATTACCGGTAAAGTAACACATCTTTTATATTCTTCAGAGAGTTTCCATATTTCCACTGCAACTTATTGTAAATCTCAAATTATAAAACTAGCTTGAGGAAGATCTGTCCAGAGAATTGCTGTTCAGTACTGTTACACATGTCGACTTCAGGTATTCAGGAATTCTTCTGCTCTTAGTCCACTCTGAATAATAAGCATTACTGTATGGGAAGAGCAGTTCACTTGCACATGTGCTTTCTCCTCTACCCTTCTCTGCAAGTCCTTCTCTAATTAATTCTTTCTCTGTTTTGTGTATAATCTCATCATTGCACTGTAGTGTCTGGTAACAATTTGCTGAACACTTTATTTGGACTTTATCCCTCTTTCCCAGCCCCATTCTCTTGACTTGCATCCTGCTTTACTGTGGCAAAATGTGCTTTAGCTCCCTGAAACAGGTCCCAAAGCTTTTTTTCATTTGCATGTGTTCACAGCCGCCATCTTTCAGCATAATGAGGGTTTATGTGAGAAAATCTTTTTTCCTCCTCTTATATTATTTTTCTAGCTAGAGCTAGGGTGATATGTTTGTCTAGGATGACTGAGAATTCATATAAATGAATCTCAAGTTATATTTTAGGGGTTGGGTTTTAGAGGGGGAGGGCTTTTTAGAGGGAGGGGGAAGAATTGTTTTCGGTTTTGTATTGTTTCTTTAAGCACGTGCACTACAAAGTTACCCAGAGGGACACAAGTGGTACCTGTTGCTGACTTTGCTGCAGCAGTATGGGAAGCCACTCTCTGCCCATGTTTACAGGGATCAGGCTTTCCGTACCTTGCTTTGCACAGTCTACTTGGAGTAAATGCTGGTCACTGGAGAACAGGGATTTAAAGAGGGGGTGAAGCCTGAGGGGCAGTGCAAGCAGAGACTGAATTGAAGACCGCTTGGAAGCTGGATATTAAGAAAACAACTCTTAAAATGGAGTACATCTGGCTAACATGAAAGCTGTTAATGAGGCGGGAGTGGACCTGCTGAGGCTCAGGTAGCAATGTAGCAATGCTGTCTGCCAGCATGGCATCCTTTGAGACATGATGCTTGCGTTTTCCTTCTGGTTGGCAGGGCCCTTTCATCAGGTGCAGTCACAGACCAGCAGATCAAAGCTACATCATAACAGCCCTGCAAAGTAAGAAAGATTCAGCAAGTGCATCTGACACTTAAAAAATCATTGTGAGCATTCCCCTTCCCCTCCCACTTGACTTGATTGCCAAACGGGCCAGTTAAATCCAAATGCAAATAAGGCCTGGTGTGTTCTGTAGGTATGTAAGCTGGGAAGATAAGTCTGGTATTGGCACTTGCTGGTTCTGTGACCCTACCAGTTTATCTAGGATAAGACTTTTCTCAACGTGGAAAAACAGATACCTGAAATTGTTCTGCAGTTGTGTTGACTGCCTGACCAGAATCATTTGGCTCAATGAGAGACACATCTTTGCCAGTCCATATTTCCCACTGGAACAACAGACTTATCAAAATCGCTCCTTCCAGGGTCTCAAGTTAAAATCTCTGTGAACAACAATAACTTTATTGGAGACATAGAGCTAATCCTAGACAAAGGCTGACTTCCTGCAATATGTGTGGTGGTTACTGTTGCCAGAGATTTACAACCACTGATAATATATTTTAATTATATTCCATATCTGCATCTCTTAGAGAAGGGAAATAGACTCTCTCAATCCAAGAGTCTTATTCTGCTTCATGTAGGTTTTGAGGAACAGGCTGGTTATTCGCTTAAGGAAAAAGGAGCTGCTTCATACATACAGTCTCACCTACCTGACGAAGTAGTGAGTACCCATAAAGTTTTTTCCTTCCCACCTGGTCAGATGTTTCTGTCTTCTCTAGACGTTGGGAAGATTTCACGTGTTTATCAACAAATACACAGATGCACGTCACCCATGTATTTGTCACCTATCCCATGTTGGTAGGGCCCCTTCAGCGTGCACTGAGGAAATCTTCTCAGAGTACCTGTTACAGTATGGCCACAGACATAAGTAGGCTGTTTGGGGAAGCCGTTCCAATGAACATGGTTTAAGTCCTCTAAGGGAAGGAGAACGCTCAAATTTTTCAATATTAGTTTGTCTTCATGGAAGGATTGGGATACTGTTCCTCTCTCTGATGTAAAACTAACTGCAATTTAGAGAGAACAGTTGGAGCTTTCTCCTAAAACAAATTCCTATTTTTAATGAGGAGTTCTTAAGAAAAACTTGAGCTGCTGCTGGTGCCACCAGCAGTGTTGAAGTATCTTGCTTGCCTTTCCCAGATCTTCAAAACGGCTTCAGACCTCAGCTCTCTTTCCTTCAGAGAGAGAGTTCTCAGTGACAGTTCGTTTCTGTATCCCTTCCCAGTTTCCCAGTCGGTCTTGTAACCCAGCCCATCCCTGGATCCAGTAAGCCTGGTGCTAGTAGGGAATAGTTAGTTTTACTTTTGTTTCCTGCAATTCTTGAAAGCTGAGCCAGTAATCACAAAGTGACTGCCCAGGGATAGCTGCAAACTGCCATAAGTAGGGCACAGCAAAGGCAGAGAAGAGAATGGATTTGCATAAAAAGGGTTGCCATTGGATCTGTATACTGGACTGCAGACTTCTCCCAAGTTCTCTGGTAGCACTGAAATCCTGCATAACTGATCACATATCTCAGTTGCCAGGAGTTTATTGGTTTATATAGGTTTTGCATATTCCACTGCAATCCTCTTTCCTGTAGTACCAAGTTTGCCTGTCTTTTGCTGTTTGAAATAGCTGTTTGGTATTATATGTTTGTTGGCTAAGCTTTTATTAGAAAAATCTTACTAGAAAGAAACTTCCTTATCAGCCTTTGCTTTGGAGCTATGTATCAACAAGGGGACAGAGGAGAGTAACCCAGCCCTTCTTAATGTAGGAAGGGTGATTGCAAAGACTTCTTTCTTTTTACTGACTGTCCTCTTTGTCCCTTCAAGCCTATATTGAAGTTATATGAGATATGTGCACATGAGAGTACTTCAGCCCTCAAGTTGCTCCATAGCAGTCACTGGAGCTCTGGGAAACTGCAGATTCTTCCCCTTGGTAGACTAGGTAGAAGCCTTTTTTTTTTTTTTTTTTTTTTTAGGAAAATTACTTGAGGCAGTTGTTGCAATGTGAGCCTATCAACTCTGTAAAATGAATTCCACCCTCCCTCTACCAGTCCTGATTCATGTCTCCACTGAAGCTATAGGAATGGTGAGACTGGGATGTGCTGGATGGCATATCATTGAGGATATTTTTAAAGGGAAGAATATGGAGCACCCTTAGAAGATATGTTAGGAGCCGAGCAAGAATGCAGAAATATGGAGGTCTTGCCTTGTCTTATTAGCTATATTTACTGGGAGATTATACACGAAGGGACCATGGAATGTCCATTCATGTTCATGGGAGCTCTGCATATGGACCAAGCACTATAGAGTATTAGCATAATTTGACAAATGGGTTTTCAATAATATTGTTCAAATGAGTCTCTCTTTCAAACTGGCATTTGTGGTCGCCATTTTCAGAAATGTCTACCTATTGCCTTTGATTTTTTTTTAGAAGAAGAAATACCTCAAGGAATTGATAAAAGATCATAGGGCAATCTTTTACAGTTCCTAAAGACTTCAGTGGTCTCTGTTTCTTTGGTTTGCATGTGTTCACATAGGTGGTACACAGCTCAGTTCTTCTCCACAAGGAAAAGCAGAAAAGACCAAACACATCAAATGCACTGGATTTTAATTGTGTGTGTGTGTGTGTGTGTGCGTGCGCGTGCACGTGTGTGTGTGTGTGTGTGTGTGTTTTTAAACTGAATGCAGTCTGACATCTCCCACCCCTTCTCTCTTCCATGTGCCTCACCCTCCCCCGTAGCCACAGAAAGGAGGGTCTCTTCCTGTGAATCCCATGCTGGAAGTTGGTTTCTGGGAAGCGAAACCTAATGTCTGTGGACTGTTTTTTAAAGCCATGTTTCAGTTCTGTCTTCAGACTCTTTGCTGCCTTTGGGGAATGGAGGGGTGGGAAGGGTAGATTCTTGAATTGTTTTTAAAATCCATTATGAAAATTTTGCATGTATAAAGTTATTCTTAAATCTAAAGGAGTCTCCCTGATTTGCAGACACAGCTCCAGGAGAGCATCGTCACAGATTCCTCAGCTCCAGTTTTGATCAGACTTTTATGAAAGGAAAATGAGATAACAGAAAGGAGAGAGACTGGTGTGATGTAAAGAAGACATAGTCACGGTTTTAAATAAAAGTTAGAAGTTAGACTTCTAGTAGGGAACTTTCAAAACAGCCCAAGGGATTTTGTATGCCTGTTTCCACTGGGTGCATTTGAAAATCCTGCCACTAATTTGGATATTGGGTATCTGGACTGTTTCTTTAGTAAAACTAATCATGTATCACTTCTTCTCTCTTTTGTGGTATCAAGGATGTGGTACAGTTTCCCACGTTTCTAGGTAAAATTCACTGATGAGAATACTGTGAAATGTGGATTCACATTTTCTGCCTCCCCCTCCTGTGTGACTTTTCTAATTTTGTGAGATAGGTTGGGTGTTCTTTTTCTTTTTTAAAACTTTGGAGTCCTTCCTTTGGAAAAGCAAAAAGGTAAGGAGAGGTAGAATTTGCAGTGTACTTAATGAACTTTCCATACCCTCAAGAAAGAGTTTTCCCACAGTAAGAATATTATACTGTCCTGCTGCAGAAGTAAACCCGATGCTCTCCTGCGAGATCTCTGTCTGGATTAGTCCTGAAGTGCACACATCCTTCTTTGCCATGGACTGAGACCCAGTGAGAATGTAGCATTTTGTTTATCCTGGTTGTGTGCCTCCAGGACTCCTGCCTGTACCAATGGTGACTGGGCAGTGCTCCTTTTTTGTATCTGTACAGTATATTTGCTTTGTGCTCTCTTTCTATGGTGCTTTTTAATACTTAATACTTGGATTTTTTTCTAATAACTGGTACAATTTTTAATAAAATTGTTAAATTCTTTTTCTGTGTTCTTCGTTTTATTTTTTAAAGGATAGAGAGCATTGTCACAGCTGGCAAGTTCTGTAGTTCACCCAAATCAGCGATACAACTTTGGTTGTTCGACTTTGAAAATATCTGGTAGATCCTTGCATGTGTACCTTAATACTAAGCCCTGCAACAAAGGCAAGATCTTCCTTCCACGTTGGACTGCTATCTTGGGCATAATTCATTTGAGTTATGAAATACTCTTTCAAATAGAGTATTCCCACCCTTGGATAAAGGACTGCTGCTAGTTGGAACTGCACAGTTAACTTTCGGCTTCAAATCGGGAAGTTGAAAATTTTTATCTCCATGCATATGCACTCATAAAGTGTAACCTTTGAGAAATGCCGGCTTATGCCTAGGCAAGTGCATTCAAAGGTACTGAGGCCTTTATGACAAAGACAGTCATATTGTTTGGTAACCTTACCAAGAAGATACAGTTCTTTCTGGTCTTCTGACTTAAAGGCAGCAGACAAAGGTGGCTGTGTAAAGTGGTAATGACTCCCTCAAGTGCAAAACTGAGGCTATCTTGGCCATCCTAAGTGATATCATGCGTGGTTTTTGGTTTCTCCTTCAGTTTTACTGTGTCAGTACAGGGGAAGAGAAAAAATATCTCCATTAAGTAATGGTAATTAACCCAGGTGGGGCAGGAATAGAGATGTGAGTATCAGAAAATATTTATAATATAGTTGGTCAAATTCCCCTAAAGAACACTGCTCATGTGATGTTGTTGGTACGATTTTCATCTGGAGTCTTTAGGAAACTGAGTTAACAATCCTACTCGATGTTAAGTTGCCTCTGTTGGTGTGTGCATGTTACAAAGGAGTCTTTCATTCCAAAAACACATGATGTATGTGGTATGAAAAGCCACATGTGCATCTAAGACCACAGGGGGAAAAAGACAGTTTTTCTTTTCATTGTATTAGATCTACTGAAAAGTGTGTCCCCTGGCCAGTATCATGTGACCATGAAAGAGCCTGTTGTAACACACTGATACAAGGGGACAGAAGTGAGATTGACTTGGATGGGTGGGAGAACTGGCTCTGAACTTCCTGATTCTCATATGGTTAAATTCTCACCCTTAATTAAATGCTAACTCTTTAAAGCTTTAGCAATTCTTGTATCAAAGAAAAGAATGACTTCTTAAAATTAACTGTTTGTACAGCTACCCCAGAAGTTATGTGCCAGAGCAGCAGAAGGCATTGCACATTGCTCTAAACAGAGGCAAATGCACAGATACATGGATTGCTTTTCTTCTGAGATCTCCTAGAAGATTACACTTGCGTCTCTGATTTAGACCTTTCACAACCTGTTGTCATATGGCTGTGGCAAAATAGGCAGGAGGGTGAAGGGAAACGCTATCAGAGGGTTAGGCATCAGGACAAAACACTACAGCTGAAACATTCCTGTTACACGAGACATTAAATACATATAATTATTTTGGTTTGAAAGAAACTGGATTTCTTAGAGAATGAACTGTAGAGAAGGAGTTTTCTTCTTGAAATCCTAAGCAGTCTCCAGCCTACATGCTAACCTGGGATTTTCAGTTTATTTCCAGCTATGGTACCTTTCATGGCAACCTGATGGGGCATTGACAATGTGTCCCCCACCTCACATAGTGACATGACTAGCACTTTAAGAAAAAATGAGTTTTGCTAGTAACTTCCTAGCAGTCTGCTATAGAGACAAGGTAAAAAGTTTAAAAAGGATTACTGCTTCAAGGAAAAAATGTTTATCAAGAACTGCTCAGCCTATCTCATTAAAAATAATAAAGCAGTCAGAGGATGAGAAAGTTCCTCGGTTGCGCAAGCTACTGCACAAAGCACTCCATTTTCACGACTCTGGCTGCTGAAGTTTAGACGCCACTGTAGTATAGGGTTTGGGGAATGGTTTCAAGCACTCGTACTGTCGTTTCATGGTGCAGTGAGTGTACTGGTTCTTAGTCACTGTGAAGTATATGCAAGCTTGGAAACAGCTCCACCAATCAGTTTTCTCGTTGTGCTTTCATATCTGAATAATTCAGAAATAATCTACCCTCATTCCTTTCCCTCTTGCCCCCAGCCTTTTCTATTTATGGGGGGGGGGGAGGTGGGGTGTGTGCGAAAGAAGTCTCTCGAAAGTAATTTTGGAGAGTTTTGGGAGATTGGTGTCAAAATGCAAGAGATGCAATTGCTTCATTGTGCATACTGCTGGTTCCTGTTCAAAGGTTTGAATGAGAAGATACATACTTCCAACAAGGATCTAGTAAAGAGTGGATGATAATTTCTTGCAGTGAGTTGTCTTCCACCTGACATGTTACGTAGTACTCTAATACATGCGCAGAGTCAGACAATAAACTGGCAGGCGTAACCCACTGACGTCAATATTTGTATTCCTCTACATAAGTCCTTTAAATCTGGATTTCTCTTAAATGAATTGTGTTCTCTGTAACATTTATAATGGGCTCTTTTCTTTCTTCATTAAAGTCTGTATCAGCATTCTCCTTCTCTATGTTTTGCCTCAGGGCTCTTGATGTATACAAAGACTCCTCTGTTTTCTGCTCTTAGTCACACGCTTTCACTCTTAACCTCAGCGCTATAAACTAAACATCCACCCACTATGGCTGGAGATGACCCTGTTTACGTCTGCTGTTCAAATCACGACAGCAACAGTCATGAAACTATGTTTCATAGAGACAATTAGCTTTTAATAAGTGAACAATAAGACTTGACTTTTTATAGCATTAGGAGTTTTTGCAAAAATTTGAACAGAATTAAATAGCCGGAAATGGCTAATGGGTCTCTGCAAAGAAATAGCTCGTTTCAATCATTTTCCTTCACCACCTTCTTTATTTACTCTAGATGATTCATTGCAACAGTCCACAGTAGCGTTGGGCCATCTGAACTCAATCTGAGGCAGCAAGGGAACAGATATGGTGACTGGGGCTTACTTTAACATTTCTTAGTTTAGCTGGATGCTGGTCAGAGTGATAGGCCTGAAATAGGACTCTTCTGTATCCCACCAGCAGGTAAAGTATGTGTAGATGTAGGATTGCGGGATCACCCATGACTGTGAGAAATTTCCATTTTTGGACCACTTTGCAATCAGCGTTAACTGCTGAGACTGCTAAGCAGGTCTGGTTGAGAGGCTGCCTCTTCCTGCAGGGAACACCAGCCCGCAGGAAGCAGCGTGAGCTGATGACGGATTTGGGAACGTGAGAGAAAAGGGGCAGGAACACGGTTAACATTTTATAATGTGGAACAACTTGTTAATTTTCTTGTAAACAGTTGAAATAAGCTGTCAGGCTGAAGTCAGGTTTATTTCTGTACAAACAGTAGCAGGTGAAGAACATGCCACGAGCAGGGTGCAGTTTGCCATGAGGGGCTGCTGCTCTGCTGGTGGGTCTCAGCAGGTGCCACTGGAGGCAGGACAAGCCTGGGGGAAGCGCACAGCTCTTCCCTCTGGGCCCACCTGTCCTACCTACAGGTGCTTGCTCTGCTTCCACTTTCCTTTCATAATATGGTGAGTGCTATAAGCAAACAGTGCTGTGATGCAGTTTTTGTGAGCAGGATTGCAGAGTGTTCCTCGAGCTTCTCCTCCGCAACCCTGCTGCTAATTTCCAGCTCTGGTGGAGGCAGCTAGCCTGTGCTCTCAGCCCGGCTCTCCTTCTCGCAGGAAATCCTGGGGCTCCTCAGAAGAACAGCAAACTCACTCGCTTTCCTTGGTGTTCTCACGTGGGCCCCTCTGACAGGATTAGGTTGCAGAGTTCATTTTACCTGTCAGTGCAAGCATATGCCCTATAGTACATTTGCTAGCACTTTCATTAATCTAATTTTAAATATCCCAAGTGAATGTCTTTCTGCTATTTCCCTCAGGAGGTTGTTGTACCTTCTAATAAATCTCACTGACCAAAGGTTTTTCCCCACTATCCATCCTAACTTCTTTCACTCTTAATTATATTCCCGTACCCTAGTTATATGTCCTTGTGTCACTTTACAAGCAGACTATACCAAAGACATTTCTATATCTAATGCACTCCAGAGCTCATTCACTTTCTTGGCAAAAGCTCCTATTGGCTTCAATGTATCCTTGTGCAGCTTTGGGGTAAGTGCTGCCATTGCCCTGCATGCCAGCATATGTCCCTGGAGCTGGCAAGGCACACCAAGGCTAGGCTAGTGTTGCGCTGAGCCCTTCCACTGCTGCTCTGGGCCTACTTTCTGCTTGGGACTGCAGAAGACTTCAGCAAGGGTCAAGAAATGGAAAGCAAGACCTATTAACCCAGAATAATTTTCTGGAAGCAGAGGCTTTTGGCAGCACCTGACTCCCCTGCCAACTGGCGCTGGCTTCCCCAGCAGGGCTGGCGGTGGCCCAGTGAGGACGCTGGCCCCCAGGAGGACAGCAGACTGCTGTGCCCCAAGGGGGCCTCTGTGCTGCTGCTTTGGCCACTAGCTACAAAGCTAGGCCATGAGGAGGTGAGTGATTCCCGGGGTCACCCTAGACTGTCTTCCCTCATTATTTTTCCTCTATGATCCTGGGTCATGGTTCTTGGGAGCAGAGAACTGGGGAAACCAAACAGTTCCTTGAGTTGTACCTAGGCATGAATGAACATTTAATCAGTCAGGGACCTGGAAAAGAAACGCTTTATGATGTTAGCTGTTATTCTGACACGACATTATGCGGTCCTTATGCTTATACCTGAACCAGGCACTTTTTCTTCAGGTAGCCTTACCCACAGAAACCAAACCATCCTCACTCCCACTGCAGTGATTCACTTGCCCTTTAAAAAAGAAGAACTGAAGCAGCTCTAAGAAGTTCTGCAAACCAGTTTAAAAAACTGTATGATTATGTAATACTAAGAACAGCCCTCTTGTCTGGGCTCTGAGGGCACCGACAGCCTGCCCCATCCCTGCCCACCCCTGGGCCTCCCCCCCTGCCCCAGGCCTGTGTTTCAGCCCAGCCTGGAC